TGCGGTTCGCAAAGGGCTCAATGCTGTGCGCCCTGATTCTCTTCATAGCGTTCTTCCTTATCGGCTTGGCCCTGGTGATCCCGGGAGCCGTGCTGGTCACTCAGAACCCTGCATCCCTCAGAACGTCATTCAGTGATTCTGAAGTGGACCAGAAGATCATAGCCAGTCCGTATGTAGTCCCTTGGAATCTTAATATTACTTTGCGTCTTCAAATTCTTAAGGGCGATTCGATGACTCATATCCCTTGCCGATCTACTTAGCCAGGTTTCATGACAGAATGTAAAAGCAGCCTGATTTTGCGTAAATCCATGAATATTTTTAAACAGTCTGCAACGAATACCCCGGTTAATAGTAGCCCAGTATACAGTCATCGAAGTGCAGAATTAAGAAAGCTTTTTTCCTTTTTAGCAAATCCACTGGAGGCTATGTCCTTCTTGTTTTGGGCATAATCTTCCTCTTCATTTCAATCTCCATTGGCTTTTGTGCAGCGGGTTTTTTCGTCAGTAGTCGCCGTGACTAATCCCGTGGCCAAAATGCTGTAAGTTATTGGTTTATTTGACTGCATCAAAAACATTTTTGTGATTACTGTAAGCATGGGACTGTAGTGGATTCGACAGTGTGCGGAGTTAGGATCCGAAGAACAACTGTTAGTACATGCCGTCGTGTTTACACGGCGTTCAGTTTGCATCCCATATGGATTGAGCATATTTGAAAATCAGGCCCCATTAACATTTGGCCATAATCTGAGGCCGATTAACATTTTGAATAGAAAAGCCACCAACTACTACGAGCCCACGTTCGTTACTCCACTTTATTTTTTTTACCGATTTGAATTCGTGACCTCAAGTGCATCCGCACCATTCTTAAGCGGAGTTTCGGGAAGGCTGAATCAACATAAAGTCCAATTGCACAGTCTGTACCACAAGCGCCCTTATACTGAGTACAACGAGCTGCGCTGGTACTAAGAATAGAAAATCGATTTTAAGATTTCTGCTCATAGTCCAAGTTGATTTTAAATATCAATCTAGTCTTTTTTCCAAATTGCTATCCAGGCGACCTGAAAATTGTTCGTTCTCAAAACACGCTTAGAGTGAACAAGGTCGGTGCGATACTATTAGCTTTATGGCCGGCAAATGAAGAAAACGCATTTGGACAGCAGAGAGCGATATATTCCAGGAACAGGGAAGGTCGTGAATTTCATTTTTTAAGTCGTTTTTTGGAGCCACTAAACAATACGCCGTCAATAGACGGCCTTATAATATGTGGAATATTGCCGACGCGCATTAGATGGTGGTAAACAAATTTTGGCAGAACACGAACTTAATTTTATTTCCTGGAAAGAGTAAAAAACGGAAAATAAGTGTTTAAATTGCAACATAAAAGTCGCCTTTGATGTAGAAACAAATTTACATATTTTAGTATAAATATCTACTTAGAAGTAGCTTTTTCATTTCTTCGGTAAAGTATAAGCGGCCATGATGTGTTGCAACTGTTAAAAATATGAGTAACGTGTTTTACATTTCCTTGCCATGATAGGTGGATCAAACTGTTATTTATCCCCGATGATACAAAAGGCACAATTGGACCACGCGAGAAGCAGCATTTTCGTTTAATACAATGCTATTGACTGACAACTTTTACAAAAATTTAATAACTTTTTGACCTAATTGGACGACTGAACCGCGGAAAGGCTCATTGCTAAAATACATTCTAAGTCTGGCCAGGGCTTCCATCTTTGCCAAATAAAAGAAAAGATTTGAAGACCAGAATATCTTATGGGCTGACGATCATTTTCATCTTCTTGTAGTTTCGAGCATCATAATGTATAATGTCGTACATATCTTGGAAATACTGGTCTTCCTGGGGATACGACTTCCAAAACCTTGACCTACAAACGCATTATTCGTCAGTATTCTTGGGCTCTTTAGTATCCTTTAAACTGTAAGCTTGGAAACTGCTAATTTACGCAAACAGGAGATAGTAGATTTTGCATCCACCCAAAAAGTAATATGAATGAAAACTTTCAACAAAAATGAATGGCTTATCGGTCCACTAGATTTGCATTTGTCCTTAAAAATCTGTGCAAAACTGACTTTGTTACATTTCCCTCCATGACATGCAAACTAACACCGTTCTACTCACGGCTCAGAGGAAATCAAGTCCTTGTTATTACTTAAAGATAAAAATAAGTGGGACAACAAGTCATCGGTTAAAGCTACAGCAAATGTCCAAAATTTAAACCTTGCGCATGGATCTTCAGTAGACCTTGTTCATGTCAATTTCAATGTGCATGACCTAGTCCTCTCTGTAGCCAATTCTGAATAAATAATCACTAGCATTCATATGAGGCATGGCCTACACAGGACGCAATTTAAAAATCCAAGAACATGATCATGTTGTTAAAAATCTCTTTTCATGGAGTCAGAGTTATAAAGAAGTTAGAGATCATTGGAACGAATCATCTAATACACCACTTTCATTAAAACGCACATTCAACGATCTGGCACAAAAATTCCAGCGGACTGGCAGCGCCAATAAATTCGGTACGCCAAAAAGCTGTACAGAACTTGACTAGTCAAGACTTAGTAGCGGCATCATTCCTCGACTGCCCCCGGAAATCCTAGAGACGTGCATCTGTGGAGGTGGGTATATCGTTATCTTCTGTACAACGCATTATGTGTGATATTGGCTTGCACCCATATCGTCTGCCTGCACTCCACGATCCTAATGAAGATGATGGAAACAGGCGTATTCAATCATTTGAAATGTTTGTGACTGCGCACAAAGATTTTTCCGACTTTTTGAACCACATTTATTGGTCGAAAGAAGCCTGCTCCAAACTAAATGGACGGGTGAAACGACACAGCGGCATCTATTGGTCAGATTCAAATCCACATGATATTACTACAGAAGCTTGATTTGTGTGTTTCGCTGTTTGGAGTGAGAGCTGCAGCACAGGATTACGGATCAGTTTTATTTGACAATTCACTGATTGCCGAGTCATATCTAAAATTTTGAATGAAAAATTGTGGTCTGAACTGTGTTAATGTGCAGATTACGCATCTTTGTTCTTTCAACAAAATGGCACCTCTTCTCGCTATGGTGGCTCTGTTTAAAGGTAGCTAAGCGAATATTTTCCAAGTAGATGGATAGGCCGCTGGGGTGCCAGTAAATCTGAAATGCGCTGACAGATGGACTGAAATGTTGCCTCTTCGAGGGAAATGGAATAAACGTGGAAGGACAATTTGTTTATAAATCCAGGTCACACAATCATGGCATCAAAATTTACGAGGACATTGACGCAAGAGTCCAGTCGATTTGGATTCAGGAGCGTAACGCCTAGGGTAAATATGATAAACTACCAAAGCCCACTGGAAGGCGTGAGTTTAATCCCATTTGGGTCAAGTCATTTGTCTTCTTAATGCTAAATAACATATTGAAAACGTAGGTCAAGTTACCCCCCCCCCAACCTACTGCAAAGTCTGGAATCCACCAAATCTGATACAGGAGGCTGACTGCCTAAGCAGGATTTCCTAAGTAATCCACCTAGGATCCACCTGAATAACTACTACGCTCATTTAATCAATGGAGTTTTGGCGGACTTTGAATAAGTCATTTGACCCAAGCGCGAAAAACTCGGCGGCCAAATGTCCTTAAACTTACTCCTCCCGTTGGAGCCTTGTAATTCAGTTGGCTAAAGCGCTGGTTGCACTCAAGCCTTGCCTTGCTGTTGTGGGTTCGAATCTCATTGGCTCCGTCGAACTTTTCACAGTTAGGTCACGTGGATACGAATATTGGCCTCCTACTGTCTCACAATTCTCTACTCCCGATCTTGGCTTCCCATGAGCTTCAAAGAAGGCGCGAATAGTAGTTTTCGGAGAGATCCTAAAGAAATTGAATTATCCTGCGATTATGCCGCACCGTGATGTGTATTACAACCCTAATTAAGTAATCTCCTCGACTCAAAAACGCTTTTCAGAATTTCGGTCAACATTTCATGAGTTAGCACATCTACTGTAGGTCCACTGGTCGACGGATGCTTGAGTAAATACGCCTGAAAGACATTTTTCCGCCGTAAATTTGATTTGGGCTTCTGCGATGGTTTTCTCAGTTTGTAAATGAACGGACTGCTAATGCATACATTCGTCTTTCCCCTTCAAAAACTTTTAAAGAGTGTTCTTTGCCAAAGTAAGAATGTAAAACCTGGATTCAATTATTATTTCGCGACACAAAGTGCGTAAGACTGGAATAGGCGTTCGTAATCATGCGAGCGTGAACCTCTGAGTTATAAGCCGGAAAGTTGTTATCACAAACTGAGTTATTCACGAATTTCTCGGATTTTTCATGTTATGCGTGTAAGCTGATCCTTTACCAGAATTGTAGGAGTTTCTGTCAAGCTATCTACTCAAGACATCGTTTGGGCTGTTTACCATCTTCAACCATGATTTATGAGACAGTGGACCAGACTGACTTTGCAGGTAACGATTGAAGTTTTGTCGTGGATTGTAAACTCACATTTATATCGACCTTTGATGAAAGTCAATTAAACCAAACTGTGAAAAACGCGGCACCTCGGTGGGATTCGAACCCGTGAAAGCAAGAGGAGGACTTTAGTACAACCAGTGCCCTATCCACCTGAGCAACAAGGCCCCATCGGACGACGTGAGTTTAGTCCCATTTGGGTCACTTTACCCGCCCAGTCCTCTGCAACGTCTGGAACACACCAAATCTGAGACAGTGGGCTGACATCTCAGGCAGGATTTCCTAAGTAATCCATCCAGAATCTACTAGATGACTACCAGGCTCACGTAAATACCAAACACTTCGGCTGATTTAGCAGAAACGTCTAAATATGGCCTTCGCAGCCACATGCTGTCTTAGCTAGCATTCTGCCGTATTACTTAATAACAATGCATATTGCTACTTGATTGTGACGTCGTTTTATTAGGCTAACTGCTGCAACGCTCGTGCACTGTTATCGACAGTTTTGGATATTATGCGTTAAAATAGCGCACTCCCATACTTCCTCGAATATACTAGACTGAACTTCAACGGAAAAAATTAATAGCATGGACATATATTGCACTTTGGATGTTAACGTTTTAGTTTTGAGCAGTAATGATTCTGGATACTGTTTAATGATTTCAAAATAGAAAGGCTGATATATAGTGCCGTTTTGTCGAAAAGTCAAGTTGAAAGAAAATCGTCTTGTTTATGGGGTCATCCACGTTAGCAATTATTCAATTAACGATTCGAACTTTCCTAATATTGTAAGGCAGACAATATCAAACTCTTCTGTTTTTTCCCGTTAGCCCCTTTCATATTATGTGTTTACTCTAAGGGATCTTATTCCGTGTATAAAATACAAAGAAGTTCATACTCGGTGATGGTTGTATTTTAATATACCTCTCAATTAATAATTGTCAATAGAATACGGTTATATCTTGATTAAGTTACTGTTCGCGTGAAATGTAACGTAATTAAAATTTCGCGAGTCATCAGTTTTGGTGAGATGGCCTT